CCCAGCTGAAGGGTAGGTGATCTTAAACCTTCTTTCATCTCCCATTGTCTTTTTCTCCAAGTCAGGGGCCTGGGATTATTTCCTCCCGGTAGCTTGGTGTTGGCATAAGTGTTCTTCTTCTTTGCCAAGCTTGCTAGTTGCTCTGTCCCTCATGAAGGAACCTTCACTGCCTCCTAAACCTTTCTGTAACATTCAGGCAAATGACACCTTAAAAGGGCTGAAGACGGTCAGGCGCGGTGGCTCATGCCTGTAATCCAGCACTTTGGAAGGCTGAGGCGGGTGGATCATGAGGTCAGGAGTTCAAGACCAGCCTGGCCAAGATGGTGAAACCCTGTCTCCACTGAAAACTACAAAAATTAGCTGGGTGCGCTGGTAAGTGCCTGTAATCCCAGCTACTCAGGAGGCTGAGGCAGGAGAATTGCTTGAACCCGGGTGGCAGAGGTTGAAGTGAGCCCAGATTACACCACTGCACTCTAGCTTGGGGAACAGAGTGAGACTTTGCATCAGAAAAAAAGGGCTGAAGACTGACATGATTGAAGGCTCCGCCTTGGACCAGGCAAATACCAGACAGTTCTCACCAGTCTCCGTCATTCATGCTGCAAACCCGTTAGGGCATGTGTACTTTTTGCAGACCCACAGATTGGAGTAGGCTGGGGAAATATTGCAGCCTTCACATCTCTGAAGCCTTGGTGAATGCTTGGAAAGGGTCCCAGTCTTTTTCAGCAGGCATACTGAGATGAATCAATTCTGCAGTCCACAGGGACTTTGTCTTTTTTACCTTGAGAACCCAAGGAGCCATGCTATGAAGAGATCTGGTAGCTTTATTTGGAGCCCATGCATTGCGAGAGTAAGAAGGACCGAGCGAGGCAACTGAAGCCTGTAGACTGAGTGAACAGATTGAATTGAGAGTGACAGAACGTGATTCCTCCTTTGGAAATGTCAGCATGGGAGGCAGCATTTCCTTGGAATAAAAAGAGTTAACCGTGATCAAATCCCTGCACATTCTCTTTGCTGCCTACTTCTCTCTTCTTTTCTTTTCTGCCTAATTCTTGTTTCTTAAAAAAAAAAATTCTTATTTTTATTCCTAACTCGCTACTTCTCTCTCTTTTTGAGCTGGGAAGAGGACAGGGTGTTACTCCGTTGCCCAGGTTTGAAGTGCAGTGGTGCAATCGTGTCTCAACCTCCTGGGCTCAAGCGAGCCTCCCTCTTCAGCCTCCTGAGCAGCTGGGACTACAGGTGTGCACCACCATGCCCAGATAATTCTTGTATTTTTCATAGAGACGGGGTTTCGCCATGTTGCCCAGGTTGGTCTTGAATTCCTGGGCTCAAGCGATCCACCCTCCTCAACCTCGCAAAATTGTGGGATTACAGGCATGAGCCGCTGTGCCTGGCTGTCTCTACGTCTCTTATACTTCATTGACGCATTCCTTCCTTCCAGGAATATGTATTAGGGGACTGTTGTGTGCTAAGCACTGCACTGAGAAATGAGGATACACAGATGAAAAGCAGATGCTGTCTGCTTCCCAGGAGCTCATGGTTTTGTAGGGGACCCAGTGTATAAATGAATGACATAAGGGCATTATATCATTTGTAGCGCCCTACAAGCACCCAAGGTGTTTTGAGGCCAGGCACGGTGGCTCACGCCTGTAATCCCAGCACTTTGGGAGGCCAAGGCAGGTGGATCACTTGAGGTCAGGAGTTTGACACCAGCCTGGCCAACATGGCGAAACCCCATCTCTACTAAAATACAAAAATTAGTTGGGCATAGTGGGGGATGCCTGTAATCCCAGGTACTCAGGAGGCTGAGGCTGGACAATCGCTTGAACCCCGGGGGTGGACGTTGCAGAGAGCTGTGATTGTGCCACTGCACTCCAGTCTGAGTGACAGAGCAAGACTCTGTCTCAAAAAAAAAAAAAAAAAAAAAAGGTGTTTTGATTTGAAAAAATTCCTAAGTGAGAATCTGATTGATCTGGTTTATGCCAGGCTCCATATAGCTTGCTGGACACTCTATAGCTCAGGGCCCATTCATTCAAGGAGATGTGGCTGGTGAGGGGACATGGACTGTGGGCGGGTCACCCTTCCCAGCCCTAACTTGCCCTGTGTACTTACTCCACCAGTGTCTTTGGGTCTTTCCAGAGCACTTGCGTTATCTCCCTAGGCAGAGCATGAGTTAACAGGGACTGCTATGGTCTGCACATGGGAAGTATTCAATGGACAATGTGAACACACTCAACTGTTTCTTTACATGGAGTTGGGCTCATGGCTGGCAGCAAGCGAGAATCACAGCCTTCCTCCTGAAGAAAGCACAGCCAGTGACCAGAGCATTCCAGGACGTAGAGAACACCGGCCACAGGTCATGTCACATGAATGCTAACACTCCTGGTGTCACCTTTAAAGGTAAAGGTGGCTGGGAGCAGTGGCTCATGCCTATAATCCCATCACTTTGGGAGGCTGAGGTGGGTGGATCACTTGAGGCCAGGAGTTCGAGACCAGACTGACCAATATGGTGAAACCCTGTCTCTACTAAAAATATGAAAATTAGCCAAGTGTAATGGTGGGTGCTTGTAATCCTAGCTACTAGGGTGGCTGAGGCAGGAGAATCACTTGAACCCAGGAGACAGAGGTTGCAGTGACCTGAGATTGAACCATCGCATTCCAGCCTGGGCGACAGAGCGAGACGTTGTTTCAAAAAATTAAAAAATAAGGTAAAGGTGAAGGAAGATTATGAATGACAGGAATGTCACAGGTGAGAAACAGAAAGCTAGTGTCAGTTTTAAATTCTCGTGAATGGAAGTAAAAATTGAGCATTCAAAATGGGATTATAGACCTGGGCAAAAGACTTCTTTTTCAAAAGCCAAGCTATTTTTATTCAATAACTCTCTACAAATGCTCAATAATTCCTATTCATACACAAAATTTGTAGCAGAAGTAATGATTCAACAGAGTGCTAGTGACTCAGGATGGAGTGTTAGTTTAAAATTTAATTCATATGCAGTATCATTTAAATAGGCATTCTCATCAGGGATGATACTGACAATTGATGTCAATGATAGGCTATTAGAAGTAGTTGATAACGGGGTATGGTGGCTCACGCCTGTGATCCCAGCACTGTGGGAGGCTGAGGCGGGCAGATCACCTGAGGTCAGGAGTTTGAGACCAGCCTGACCAACATAGCAAAACCCTGTCTCTACGAAAAATACAAAAATTAGCTGGGCATGGTGGTGAACACCTGTAGCCCCAGCTACTCGGGAGGCTGAGTCAGGAGAATCGCTTGAACCTGGGAAGCAGAGGTTGCAGTGAGCTGAGGTCACACCACTGCACTCCAGCCTGATGACAGAGCGAGACTGCACTTCAAAATAAAGAAGTAGTTGACGACAGAACTGCTGCCCAGATGGGTCTCTACCCGACCTTCGTATTTTATCACTGTTCTTCCGAGTCTCTTCTTTGGCTTGAAAGAACTTCTGCTGAACTTCAATGGAGTCAAAATCCAAGTTCAAATAAAATAACTAGATGGCTTGAAGAAGCCCTTGACTCATTGTCCTGCAGTGGGAGAGCAGAAGACACCCATCCAGGAGCCTCCCATGCACCCTCGAAGTCTGGTAGGGCAGGGTCCCTTCTGCCGAGGGCCTTGAGAGAGAGAAGCCTAGAGAAATACGGTCTGCATCAGTGTGACAGCAGGCACAGGGAAAGCCGCAGAAGGGACGGGGCTCAATGTCTGCTAGTGTGATGCCTCCCTCGTCCCTCCCGCTCCGTTTGTGATGAACAAAGGGCTACTGTGTTCAGAAAACCTCGCTTTTTTACTGCCAGCTACACACACAGACCAAACCCTTAATGGGACACTACATTATGACCCCAACCTATTTTATTGTTGTTGTTGCAGGGTCTCACGTTGTTGCTCAGGCTGGAGTGCTGTGGCACGATCATAGCTCACTGCAGCCTCGACCTCCCAGGCTCTAGCAATCCTCCCACCTCAGCCTCCAGAGTAGCTGAGACCACAGGCATACCACACTGAGCCTGGCTAATTTTTTGTAGAGAAGAGGTTTCACCATGTTGCCCAGGCTGGTCTCAAACTCCTGGCCTCCTCAAGCTATCAACCCACCTTGGTCTCCTAAAGTGCCAGAGTTACAGGTGTGAGCCACTGCACCTGCCCCCCCACCAAACCATTTTTCTAACATTGCCTTCTCCTATTTCCTGCTGTGCCACACCAGATTCTCATGAACCACTGCAGCATCCTTGGCTCTGTCTGAAATGTCACTGACACCGCAGTGCCCCTGTCCATCCTGACCATGCTTACGTGCCCGTCCCCTTCCCACAACCCCAAGGTGAAGCTAGGTGAAGTTCCCCCAGGTGTCACCACGGTGCTTTGTTTACGCTTCTGACCTCAGTTTTTTGTTGTCCTCAGTTTATCTCCTCTGTTGGACCTCAGGCACTTTCAGGAGAGGATCTTCTGTCACTCATTCATCTCCACTTCCTAACACACACAAAATGCTCATTGTAGGTGTAGGTGCTCAGATATGGTTTTTTTTTTTTTTTTTTTTTTTTTTTTTGAGACGGTGTCGTGCTCTGTCACCCAGACTGGAGTGCAGTGGCATGATCTCGGCTCACTGCAACCTCAGCCTCCTCGGTTCAAGTGATTCTCCTGCCTCAGCCTCCCAAGTAGCTGGGATTACAGGCATGTGCCACCATGCCTATCTACATTTTGTATTGTTTTTGCTTTTGAGATGGAGTTTTGCTCTTGTTGCCCAGGCTGGAGTGCAATGGCACAATCACAGCTCACTGCAACCTCTGCCTCCCAGGTTCGAGCGATTCTCCTGCCTCAGCCTCCCGAATAGCTGGGATTACAGGCATGTACCACCACTCCTGGCTAGTTTTATATGTATATACATTTAAGTAGAGATGTGGTTTTACCATGTTGGTCAGGCTGGTCTCAAACTCCCGATCTCAGGTGATTCACCTGCCTTGGCTTCACAAAGTGCTGGGATTACAGGTGTGAGCCATCATGCCTGGCCTCAACTATGTTTTTTGAAGGAAGGATACTCATGGAGACAATTGTTGTCTTTTAAATATTTGATATGCGCTTGAGCTAGTTATAGATAGCTCTTAATGTGTTCGTCCTGATAACAGGTTTCTAATGTCACCATTTTAGTTTGCTGAGCAGCAAAGCAAAAATAACATTAATCTGTGTTATTTGACAACTAATGCACAATAACGAATGAATATCTTAAGTATCAGGGAGAATCCTGGTGAGAAAGTTGACAAAGTGAATTTACACTCCCTTTTCAAGCAGTTGAAAGGGAGGCGTAGTTTTCCAAGATGAACACTTAGGTTTGAGTATCTCTTTTTGCCTGAGTTTGCTTTTATGTAAAAATAGAGGATTTGATTCTATCTATTCCCCTTTAACTCTAAAATTATAGTATTCCAGCAGGTTTACCTAACAAGAGTTGACTATTACACAAATGGTTTGGTGCTAACATTAGCAGTAAACACATTTTTAAAACCCTGATTTTACTCGGGCTCCCAGGCATGCTCTGGAGTTCATCTGACTTCTAATAATGGAAGTGCAAATACATTGAGTGATCACTTCCACAACAGTCCTGTTCCTTTAAGAGATCACGGTTGTTAAGTTAGGAGATTATTGAACCGTATGAGGGTCAATAAAAGAATAAAAAGTCACTGGTTAGCGAGTCGAGGACAAGGAACTTGATCCTAGTTCAGTATCTGTGGATCCGTATGCTGCCCACAGTCAGAGAGAGAGTCCCAGGTGCGTGGCACCTTGCTTTTCCTCGGGATGGCTTCTGGAAGGCTCATTAAGTTTGTGGTTTTTGAGCTCCTAGAGTTTGCTGCTTTCTCTGTCCCTACACTTGTGATCACGGAACAGTTTGCCACCGCCTACCAAGGAACAAGGGCCAGATCCGAGAACACACACTACTGGCTGGTCGTCTCCTGTTCTATTGCCTATGTTGCGCTGGTGACTCTACTGATATGGGTTCCTGTAAAAGTTCTCCTGCATAAGAAACGTTATCTTTACAAAAAGATCAAAGGATGGTAAGTAAAATAATTTTCTTTTTCAATATGGAGTCTTGCTCTGTTGCCCAGGCTGGAGTGCAACCTTGGCTTACTGTGACCTGCGCCTCTGAGGTTCAAGTGATTCTCCTGCCTCAGCCTTCAGAATAGCTGGGATTACAGGCACATGCCACCATGCCTGTCTAATTTTTATATTTTTAGTAGAGACGGGTTTTCACCATGTTGGCCAGGCTGGTCTTGAACTCCTGACCTCAAGTGATCCATCTGCCTCGGCCTCCCAAATTGCTAGGATTACAGAAGTCAGCTACTGCACCTGGCCCATAAAAGAATTTTTTAGCACAGAATCCCCATGATGCTTTCAAAGATACATTTGTTTGTTGTTTGTTTTTGTTGAGATGGAGTCTCGCTCTGTCACCCAGGCTGGAGTGCAGTGGCCCAATCTTGGCTCACTGCAACTCCTGCCTCCCGGGTTTAAGTGATTCTCCTGCCTCAGCCTCCCGAGTAGGTGGGGTTACAGGCATGGGCCACCATGCCCAGCTGATTTTTGTATTTTTAGTAAACTGGTCTTGAACTCCTAACTTCGTGATCTGCCTGCCTTGGCCTCCCAAAGTGCTGGGATTATAGGCGTGAGCCACCGTGCCTGGCCATTGGTTGTTTGTTTTAACTTTTAAGTTAAGCGGTACAAGCTCAGGTTTGTTACATAGGTTAACTTGTGTCATGGGGGTTCGTTGTACAGATTATTTAACAGGGTTGAACCACCACACCCAGCTAATTTTTGTAGTTTAGTAGAGACGGGGTTTCCGTGTTGGCCAGGCTGGTCTCGAACTCCTGATCTCAAATGATCCACCCTCCTCTGCCTCCCATAGTGCTAGGATTACAGGAGTGAGCCACCATGCCCAGCTTGTAAAAGAGTTCTTTAGCAGGGAATCCCAGTGATGCTTTCAGATACATTTGTTTGCAGTTTGTTTTAACTTTTAAGTTTGGGGGTACAAGCCCAGGTTTGTTACCTAGGTTAACTTGTGTCATGGGGGTTTGTTGTACAGATTATTTCATCACCTAGGTATTAAGGACATCCGTGTCCCTGCAAAGGACATGATCTCATTCTTTTTCATGGTTGCATAGTATTCTATGGAGTATATATACCACATTTTCTTTATCCAGTCTATCACTGATGGACATTTAGGTTGATTTCATGTCTTTGCTACTGTGAATAGTACTTCAACGAACATACGGGTGCATGTGTCTGTGTAATAGAATGATTTCTATTCCTTTGGGTATACACCCAGTATTGGGATTGCTGGGTCAAATGGTATTTCCGTCTTTAGGTCTTTGAGGAGTCACCACACTGTCTTCCGCAATGACTAAACTAATTTAGACTCGCACTGACAGTGTGTAAGAATTCCTGAAAGATATGTTCTAAGGTACTATGGGTAAGGATGTGAGCGGAGCATAAGTATATAATGTGAGATTGATGGAAGGTTAGAATTACTGCTTCTGTAAATGTATGGATATTATGGTAGCTTCTGTTATTTTTCTACAGTCATTCATACTGAGTGATAATAACACAGGAGGTGGGTTAGTAAGACTGGAGTTGGTGCCATTTCATGCTGCCCTAAGTAGTAAATGTTGGACTTAATTCTCCTGTACACTATACTGTATAAACTTATCAGTCAGCGTATACGAGTCATTATCACAAGATGATAATGTAGAATTTTAATTTTGCATAAAACTGAAAGTAATGTCTACTTTTAATTATTTACATTGCATTTTGTAGGCCTAAGGCATACTTTGACCTTTAAGTTTTTTTTTAAAACAACTGTTCCTTTAGACTTTTTATTTACTTATTTATATGTTTTCAGTTTATATATTTTGAGACAGGGTGTGGCTCTGTTGCCCAGGCTAGATTGCAGTGGTATGATCATTGCTCACTGCAGCCTCGACCTCCCCAGTGGGCTCAGGTGATCCTCCCACCTCAGCCTCCTGAGTAGCTGGGACTACAGGTGTGCACCACCATACCTGGCTAATTTGTTTGTGTTTTTGTAAAGGTGAAGTTTTGCCATGTTGCTCAGGCTGGTCTCAAACAATCCACCCATCTTGGCCTCCCAAAGTGCTGAGATTACAGGCGTGAGCCACCAAAGCTGGCCTACTTAGACTTTAAAAATAAATAATTTTCTATGTAGGTGAATTCTATTACCCTTGTAGGAGAGGAAAGTGCTTCGATAACAATATAGAGATATTTTAAATAAACCAGTATTTAGTGTTGATTTAACTAGCAGCTTAGCTAATGGCTCTACTGATCCACATAAAGGCATCAAGAACAGAGAGCCTCTGATATCAATATATTTTTCCATTTAGAGCTTCACGTCTGATTCTTACTCATCTAGGACCTCTCTGTTTTCTTTGATAAGTTAATTTTTCTTGCATACTGATGTTTTATTTTATTTATTTATTTAAGACGGAGTTTCACTCTTGTTCAGGCTGGAGCATGGTAGCGCGATCTCGGCTCACTGCAACTTTCGCCTCCCAGGTTTAAGTGATACTACTGCCTCAGCCACCCGAGTAGCTAGGATTACAGGCACCTGTCACCACTCCTGGCAATTTTTTTTTTTTTTTTTTTTTTGCATTTTTAGTAGAGACAGGGTTTTACCATGTTGGCCAGGCTGGGCTTGAACTCCTGACCTCAGGTGATCCACCTGCCTCGGCCTCCCAAAGCATTGGGATTACAGGTGTGAGCCACTGTGCCCTGCCGATGTTTTATTTTGGAAGTGAACAACACTCATCACATGTGAACAGTGAATTACTGGGAACTTGCACATACACACTGGCAGAAATGTACAAATAATAGACGCTGCACTAGAGCTAGAAATACCATTACTGCAGTTGGGAGGATGCTGAAGGCGAGCTGACACGTGAAATTCATGACACCCTCTTTAGCTACTGATCCTGGACGTGGCCCCTCCTGCGAACCTCACCGGGAGACTTTTGTTTCCCCGGGAGCAGGGGTCTTAAGGGATTTCTGGAAATAAAGCATTTTGTTGTTGGCACTGCTTTTATCAGTAGGGTTTAGAGGCCTCCCAGACCTTAACCAGAGCCCCAGGGCCACCTAAGGGGTAGCCGGGAGCCAGACTGGGCCCTGCACCTCTCACACCCTATAGGAGTGGCTTTGACCATCTGAGATTCCTGGCTGGGTTGGAATTTTGAGGGAATGGTGGAAGGTTTAAATGACAACAGAAATAAACCAGTGGAAAACTGGCCCACCACTGCCCAGAAAAAAGCTCTTGGGTTTTTCGTGTTCTGTTTTTTTGTGTTCACATTGACTCAGATCCCTGGGACTAGATTCTGAATGTCATTTAGGCAGCAAACCTTCCTATGTAACTTACTGTTATTATTATTAGGCTATTGTAATTCATTCTTCACAGATCGTTGATTATATGCCATGTAAGTACTGATCTGAGGTGGTACAGAAATATGTACTTCCTAGGCCGGGTGCAGTGGCTCACACCTGTAATCCCAACACTTTGGGAGGCCTAGCTGGGAGGACTGATTCAAGCCCGGAGTTAGAGAGCAGCAAGGACAACGTAGTGAAACCTCATCTCTACAAAACATTACAAAATCGGCAGGGTGTGGTGGTACGTGCCTGTAGTCCTGGCTATTCAAGAGGTTGGCTTCAGCCCAGGAGTTTGAGCCTGCAGTGATCTATGATTGCACCACTGCTCCAACCTGAGTGACAGAGTGAGACCCCGTCTCTGAAAAACAAAAAGAGAGAGAAATATCTACTTCACCTCATAAAGTAGATTTTTTTTTTTTTTTTTGAGGAGTCTGGCTCTGTCACCTAGGCTGGAGCGCAGTGGAGAGATCTTGGCTCGCTGTAACCTCTGCCCCCCCAGGTTCAAACAATTCTCTTGTCTCAGTTTTCTGAGTAGCTGGGATTGCAGGTGTGCACAGCCACACCTGCCTGATTTTTGTATTTTTAATAGATATGGGTTTTCGCCATGTTGGCCAGGCTGGCCTCAAACTCCTGACCTCAGATGATCCACCCACCTCGACCTCCCAAAGTGCTGGGATTACAGGCATAAACCACTGTGTCTGGCCTAAAGTGGAATTTTTTTTTTTTTTTTTTTTTTTTTGAGACGGAGCTTCACTCTTGTTACCCAGGCTGGAGTGCAATGGCGCGATCTTGGCTCACCGCAACCTCCGCCTCCTGGGTTCAGGCAATTCTCCTGCCTCAACCTCCTCAGTAGCTGGGATTACAGGCACGCGCCACCATGCCCAGCTAATTTTTTGTATTTTTAGTAGAGACGGGGTTTCACCATGTTGACCAGGATGGCCTCGATCTCTTGACCTCATGATCCACCCGCCTCGGCCTCCCAAAGTGCTGGGATTACAGGCTTGAGCCACCGCGCCCGGCCTAAAGTGGAATTTTTATAAGTTTATCATTATTATTCCCAAGATAAAACTGCTGATTAGAGAGGTTCAACAATTCTCCCCAAGTCAGTGAACTAGAGAGAGTGGAAGAGCCAGCCTTTGGACCTAAGTCTGACCCCATAATGGGTACCTCTAGCCACCATCTGAAACTGCCTCTTTGAAGGGCAAGGTCCCAATCTCCTGGGGCAATTGAGATTAAGGCTTTCGTTTCTGGTCTTAGTGCCTGTGGTATACCAGTAACCTTTGGTGTCTGCTCAGACTTTGTTTTGTACATCTGGCCCAGACGCCTCCCCTGTGCTAAAGTGTTTTGGGTTGTCATAGCTACATCTCTCAGTGATTTCTTTTGGGAAATAGACTTCCCAGTCTTTAGTTTCTGTTTGCGGGTGTGGCTGGCCATATGTGTTTTAAATAGACAGTGAACAGGTTATCTGTAATATCAGTGAAACTGAAACTGTTTCTTCCTGGCCAGTTTCATGAGCATTATCATATAGTTATCTTTTACTGGCATAGAAGAGAAGCAATAGCTACTGAGAACTGTTAGAGGAGCTTTACACCTTCCATATTGCTGAATATAAGCTTTACAACTCAGTAAAGCG